ATCATAATTTAGACTTTTAATTGTTGGTGGAAGATTATTAAACAACTTGATACCTGTATAGTACACTCCTTTCTGATATTTAGTAAAGTTATTTGGCACATAGAGATCATGTTTATGTCTTGTATTTAAATTATGTACATCTGTATTTCTTTTAAATTTATTCATGTTTTCCACCACAAATGATAGCAAAGAGAGTATAAACTCACTTGCAAGTGGAAGTATATTAAGTTTACGAAATAATTTTCTACAAGATACCCTGCTTTTGACACCAGCCATTATTCTAATTATTTTCTTTTGCATGTAAATGATATGAAAGCCTTATGTTACTATTTGTTTAATTGTTCTGTTATTTGTTAGAGAAACATTGGCTGTTTGTATGTTTTTATGTGCCACTAAGTGTAATGTGAGTAAAGTTAGTCAGTTTAGTACTTTTTTTCTTTCTTTAAATAAAAACTTTGTTTTTGTGTCTGGTTTTGATGTTTTGCAGGTATGACTACTAAAGGAGGCAGTAGAATTACAAGAAAAACTGGCACAAGAGAGTATACTGCCATACATGAAGACCTTCTTAAGGCGAAAGAAGATTTGAAATTCATGGCCCTCAACGAGGAGGAGCACAAGTCAGAGTTTGAAACACTTGAAAAGAGAATTCAAGTATTCCAGTCACAGAATAAATCGTTAAGGGCTCAGATTCCTCATAAAGTACCAGAACTCTTAACTAGGGAATGTCTTCCACGGCAGCACGGAGAAGATTTAATCTTAAAACTTTGCATACCGTGTAGTGTATTAGAATATAAATAAGCACACAAACAACTATTAACACTCTAAAGAAGACACTATTGCCATACGCATTTCAACCTTAAAAGGTCATCATCAGGGAAATCAATTCATTTAATTAAATGGCTCAAACTTGATTTATAAAATAAATAATGATTATTACATTTGACGAAAAATATTTTAAGCAACACTGCACCAAATGTTGTTATTCATAGGAATAGATGCTGCACTTAGCTGGTGGTCCGGTGGCCGTGGCTGGTCTGCGGCAAGCTGTAGTTTTGTCGTCCATACCTGTGAACTCCAGAACATTGGGCGAGAGACAGTCAGTTGGAATGCGTGGTATACCCACGCATTCCAACTGACCAATTTGTTTTAACGATAAATCAGCAACCACGTTACGGATGAAGTTTTCTGTCATGTTGGTAAGTGTAGTAGTTCATGGAGATACCATTAGGTGGTATATGCATCACCTAGCTAACGCGAGGTGATTATGTCGCGGTTTCCCGCCATTATGCAGAAGGTGGCAGACAAGGGAAGACTTACGGTTCAGTTTTGTTTTTTGTGGAAGCAAAAAGTGTTGTGGAAACGCAGAGATGGTTTCATGCCCATTTTGGTACGCAGTGGGCCCCTGCTCCAAAAACTATTCAGACTTTATCAGCAGTTTCAACAGGATGGTACAGTGTTGGAAAAGAAACATGGATGTGCCGCAAGTGTGCGTAGCCCACGGAACATTGAAGCTGTCAGAGTAGCCATGAAGTAGAAGCCTGGTTTGCCGTTAAATACTCAGTGGTTTATGCAAGATTGGGCTACACCACACACAGCAAATGTTGTCTTGGACTTCCTGCACGACACTTTCGGTACACGTGTGATTTCCCACCGATATCCTGCTCACCACGGATGTGGGCAGAACTGGCCACCCAATAGTCCGGACATAAACCCCTGCGACTTTTTCCTTTGGGGTTACCTTAAGGAAAAACTGTTTCCAAAAAA